CCTGTAGTTCCAGCTACTAGGAAGGCTGAGGCGGAAGGATCGCCCAGCAGGTCGAGGCTGCGGTGGCCGGGAGTGTGCCACTGCACTCCAGTCTGGGTGACAAAGCGAGACGTCAATTCAAAAAAAAAAAAAAAAAAAAAATAGCCCGGCGTGGTGGCGTTTGCCCGTAGTCCCAGCTACTCCGGACGCTGAGGCAGAAGGATCGCTTGAGCCCAGGAGTTTGAGGCTGCGGAGAGCCATCATCGTGCCACTGCATTCCAGCCTGGGTGACGGAGCAAAACCCTGACTCAAAAACAAAACAAAACAACCAAAAACAAACAACCCCCCCACCAGATATGGGTCACAGGACACACAAGGTACCAACCCTGTCCCCCGGAGGCCGGCCGCGCATGCGTATTCTGGTGACGTCTGCGCGAGGCCGAGGGCCGGACTCGGGGAGGGCGGAGCCAGAGCAGCGGTTGGGCGAGAGGAGAGCCACGCCCGCCGCGCCGCCGTTTCTGCGCATGCGCCGGGAGTCAGCTTTTGGTATTTTCGACGCGTCAGCGGACGTGCGACTCAGTTCGCGTCCGGGCGTCGGAGGCGGAGGTGGTGAGGATTCGCTCTTCCAGAGAAGGCGCGAAAAGCCCCCTCCTCTTCGTCCTAAGCTTCGGCGGGAAAGCATCCGTTGATCTTTTCTCTCCGTCTTGAGGGAGGCGTCGGCGGCTTGCGGTCAGTCTTCTGGTGACTGGACGTCCCCGCAGTTCTCTCTGGAGGGGCTGGCAGGGAAAGTGCGGGGCCCCGCGCCGCGGAGACGGGGCGTTTGGCATCGGGGCCGCGGCCTCACGGCGCTCGGTGCAGCGTTGGGGACTCCGTTGGTCTCCTGGCGGGCGCCGCCCGCGTCCTGACTCCCGCCCGCTCGACCGCGGCTTCCGGGGCGCGGCACCCACTTCCGGCCTTGACTTGTTTTTCTCTCGCGTCTTAGGCAGTCTTGAGTTTCCGGGAAGGACTCTTTCTGAGGAAAGGCTAACGCCGCAGGCGGAGATGTCCAACTACGTGAACGACTTGTGGCCGGGCTCGCCGCAGAAGGACTCGCCCTCGACGTCCGGCTCGGGCCGTTCCAGCCGCCTGTCGTCGTGGTCTAGGAGCCGCTCTTCTTCCAGGAGCTCTCGGCCATATCCCCGCTTCTCCAGCCGGTCCTCGTCTAGGAGCCGCAGCCGGCACCGGAGGAGCAGGTCCAGGTCTCGTTCCAGACGGCGCCACCAGCGGAAGTACAGGCGCTACTCGCGGTCCTATTCGCGGAGCCGGTCGCCGCCCCGCAGCCGCCGCTACCGGGAGAGGCGCTCTGGGTCGTCCCGGAGGTACTACCGGTCGCGTAGCAGGTCGCGCTCTCGGGGACGGTGGCACTCCCGAAGGGCCTCCGCGATCACGCGGGTGCGGCGCTTCCACGGCTTCGGTCGCACGGTGTACCCGGGGGAACACAGCCGGTGGAGGGTCAGATCCAGGACCAGGTCGCGCAGCAAAACCCCCTTTCGCTTGAGTGAAAAAGGTGGGTTATTTGTCGTTAAGAGAGGCGCAGTTACCTTCCGTTGTTTACCTTTTTACATGTAGGGCGATAGTGTCTGACTAGGGAACCGAAGTTGCCGTGTGGGTTCAGTGTCAGTTCCTTTGGTGCCCTAAGTCTTTTGCTGGGGGAGGGGGCGGGCTCCATGTTATAGTTAAAACTACAGGGACTGGTAGGTAGCGTGTGTGTCGGAGACCGGCTCCGACCGAGGAGGGTTGCGCCTGAATCGGGGAATCAGGAAACGGCGAAGAAGAAACAACTCTGAGGCAGTTCTTCTGGGTCAGGTCTGGCCAAGACCGTTCCAACTTTTATTCAAACTCTCTCCAGCTTATATACCATTTTCTATAACTTCCGGCAGAGAAACAATCATCTGCCGGGGCTTACAAATCTCATGATGCATATCGTACTTCAAAGAATTGTACATTAAGGTAACAAATGCTTAATTCTTACATTAGTTTCACAAACTGTTCCTCAAAATCATTCAATGTATAACCTTAAACTTCAAGGCTATTATTCTTATTATTAACGTATGACCTTACATTTTCTATTAACCTTTCCATGATCTCATAAATCATATTCTCATACTGTTTCTTAAATCCTAATCCCAAATCACCCAACTATAACCATAACTCATCATTCTAACTATTCTCAAAACAAACCAATTATATGTTTGTTTATTAATTATACAAATGCTACATTCTTATCCTAAAAATACACTAAAAACAATTTTATAAACTTTTAATCATATCCTTAAACCTTAACTATATTATTATAACTCTTTTATCACTACAAACTACACATTTATTCTTTTCTAATGTTAAAACATCTTAAACTTATCAAACTATTTTTAAAACCTATTTCCTTACAAGCTTGCGCATGTCTATTGTGTAAAAGATCCCATGGCCGTAATTACTTGCTAACCAGTCTGGCTTGAGACAGAAACTGTTTGTAATGAGGGAGTTTCGGTATGCAGCCTGTTCTTCTATATCAATACACCTAGCTAAAATCAAAGCTGTAATTAAAAAGGTTTCGGTACACTAACCAACAGTCTAGAATTAGCTTCTCAAAATAACTTCTGGGAAAAAGAAACCTAGCTTCTCAAAGAAAGACTAAAACATTTTTAAGTATTATTCTCACTATTAAGTCTTTTATATATTTTAACCATGTCCAATTAACTCAAGGTTTTATTTGAAGTTTTTATTAACAGATCAAAAATCTTATTATGATTTCGAGCATGCTTTCTTAAAGAAACAGTCCGTCAAACAGGATCCTTGGGGCCTTGCCTCCAACATGGCCACTATATGCTAGAGCCTTTCTCTTAGCCAGCGTATTTTCCATGGGGCTTTTGCCTCCGTCATGGTCGCTATATGCCAGAGTTCTCCTAGCCAGCGTTTTTCCTATTTTCAGGCGCTCTGTGATTTGTTTCTTCAAGATTTGCAGCCCCCAACATAAGTGGACAGCTTTCTTTTTGTTTATGGTCAACTACGGTTGTTAGATGACTTTTGGTGGAGGAATGCTCTTCCTAGTGACTGACTGTTGCTAGTGGACTATTTTAAATGTTGCCACTTAGTTTAAGCTTCAAAATTAACTGTTGCATGGGAAGAACTGTATCAAAACAAGCCGTTTAAAAGTTTTAACTGTATTGAACAAAATCGAATCCAGTGTTTTTTAAAAAGTGGCATGGTATCCTTAGGGATCATGGAATAGGGTTCAAAAAAAGCTTAAGAAGTCAGAATGTAGACTAATGTATTGATGTTGGTTTTGTGGTTGTGATAATTGTACCATATATAGAGTCTGTTGCATAAAACCCTGTTTGGAAAATAAGTTAAGGCCTTTGGTTAGGAAAATTGAAAACTGATAGTTGAGATAACTTAGGAATGTTTATTTTTCTCAGGTGAGGTTTGTTTCAGTGAGTAAAGTAATACAGCCCCTCAGTTTATGTGCAAACTCTTGTATACTTTGGGTTTCCGATGTCTCAAATACTATAGTATTTTCAAGTAGTGTTTGGTTTGAAAAAAAAAGTTATGTAAGTGGACCTAGTGCCTAAAACCTGTGTTCAAGGGTCAAAGAAACTTAATGTATTTGTTTTACTTAAAGCCATAATATATAAGCTTGTTTTGTTATTTTGAGTCCTCTTGGAGAAATACTACTGGATTAATAAGTATCTAAAAATTTTTTTTAGATCGAATGGAGCTGTTAGAGATAGCAAAAGCCAACGCAGCGAAAGCTTTGGGAACAACCAAGATTGACTTGCCAGCTAGTCTCAGAACTGTTCCTGCAGCTAAAGAAACAAGCCATAGAACAGCTGTACCAAATAACGGTGCAGAATCTGAAGTAAGTATTCTGGGTTTGTAAAAATCTTCAGAAGGCTAGTCAGAAAGATCCGATTAGCCATTTTTTGTTTATCTTAGCCTATATTCTTCGAAAGGCTAGTTCTATATATAATTTCCTAAAATCAAAATAGCAGATCTGACTACAGTAGGCAAAATCACGCCCATGGAAATGGGAGAGTAATGAACTTCATTTTCATTTGAGACTGCTCTTTCATAGCACTGTTAATAAGATGTAGCTTGTATTTTGGTGATTTTCATCATCAAATTTGTCAACTCTAGTCTTAATCTTTACGGAGTGTTTATTTGTAGCTTCCATTTGCAGCATTATGTTCCCTCAAATTCTGTACTCAACATACAGTATTAGTTTATCTGCTTTATTTCTGTCTTATAGAAATCATGAATGGGGTCTCCAGACATTGATGAAGAAAATCTGTTGGTAATTGATACATGGGCTAAAGCATCAGAAGTTTAATGTGAAGTTTACTTTCATACACTGAAAGCTTAGTTTTTTCGTTGGTACATACATGTGCATGCTAGAATTTGGGGCAGGTACTATTTTCTTAAGGTACTTAAGGTACTAAAAACAATTTTTAAGTTAAGCAAAGGTACACTTTGTAATGGTGGGGCATCTGTGATATAGATGTCCTTTTTATAATATATGCAATATATTCCAGATGTTTTGAGAGATTACAGAAGAGGAGGCCTGCTTCACTTGCAGATAAGTTTGTTACAATTCTCCAGAAATTTGCAGGATGTGCATTCTCAAATTACACCATACTTTTAGATTACAGAGATGCCATATTTAAGTGAAACTATCATTGGGACCCAGATACGGGTTTGTTTACTGTCAGTAGACAAGTAAGATCTTCATTGAATTGTTAAGATGATTAGGTGCCCAGTTGGCAAATGCCTTAGTTCTTTGAAACTAGATATTTTCTGGTATGACTTCACTTTCAAAGTTATTTGAATTTGAGGCATGGGAATAAAATAATTATGAGAAGAGTGTCTTAAGCTCATATTGCACCAATTTTGTAAGGGGGAAAAGTCAACAGTTCCATGTTACTTAGGCTATTAACTATATGGTTAGATCCAATTTGATTTGTGTGTCTACAACTAAGTTTGTGTATAATTATACTGCATTTTATATAGTCCGTAAAATAAGCCTGGGGTATTTTTTTTTAATTATACTTTTACTTGTCTGTCTAGCTGTTGGGAAAGCTAACAGAAGATGGAACTAAAAATCCCAGTGACAAATCTTCCCAGCAAAAAAGCATAGCATTTAGCTCTAACGTAAGTATATCCAAGCATTGATCACTCACAAATTGGATATAGGAGATAATTGTATTAAGTAGGCATTTCTTCTTGTTTTATCTCTGTGGTGATAATTTGGGGCTCACTGAGATTCTTTGTAAATTGAACTAATATCTTTGATATTTGTACCATTTTGCAAGTGACCATTATAATGGGCTTCTGCTGTTATCACACACTCAGTTTCAATTTTTTGCCATTCTTGTAAGTATTTTTTTGAGTTGGAGCCTCACTCTGTCGCCCAGACTGGAGTGCAGTGGCCACTCCCGGCCACCGCAGCCTTGCCTGCTGGGCTCCGGCGATCCTTCCGTCTCAGCCTTCCGAGTAGCTGGAACTACAGGCACGCGCTACCACACCCAGCTAATTTTTGATTTATTGTAGAGATGAGGTCTCGCCAAGTTTCCCAGGCAGGTCTCGAACCCGTGGGCTCAGGCAATCCATTCACTTAAGTCTCCCAAAGGTGCGGGATTATAGGCGGAGCCGCCGAGCCCGGCTAGTATCTTGTTTTTAAGGAGAAATCTCAGAATACTCTTTAATCAGAATGTTTTAAAATCAAGGGTTTTAAAAAAAACACTTGAAAAGAATTTTTTGGCCAGGCGCAGTGGCTCATGCCTGTAATCCCAGCACTTTGGGAGGCAGAGACGAGAGGATTGCCTGAGCTCAGGGGTTCAAAACAAGCCTAAGCAACATGGTGAGACCACCTCATCTCTACAATAAAAAAATCAGCCAGGCATGGCGATGCATCCCTGTGGTTCCAGCTACTTTGAAGACTGAGGCGGAAGGATTGCCTGAGCCCAGCAGGTCAAGACTACAATGACTGAGTGTGCCACTGCATTCCAGCCTGGGTGACAGTGAGACTCAAAAAAAATTTTTTTTTAATTAAGAACTCAAAAAGCAAGACTTCAACACTATCATACCACATGTGTATGTCTGATTCCCCCTCCACCCACTTTTTAGGCTTGACACTTTTAATAAAGCTACTGATTAGGTCCACATTGTGCATTTGGTTGATAGTGTTTCTTAAGTCTTGTAAATAGAATTATTTACTTTTTGTGTGTGTGTTGGAGTCTCATTCTGTCGCCCTGGCTGGAGTGCAGTGGCTCAGTAGCTGGAACTACAGGCACGCACCACCACACCCGGCTACTTTTTTGACTTACTGTAAAGATAAGGTCTCACCAAGTTGGCCAAGCTGGTCTTGACACCCTGGACTCAGGCAATCCTATCACCTCCACCTCCCAAAGTGCTGGAATTACAGGCGTGAGCCACCATGCCTAGCTGAATTATTTTTTTGTGAAATGCAAATATATGTATATGTTTGGGAAACTGACTTAATTTTTTCTCTTACAGAATTCTGTAGCAAAGCCAATACAGAAATCAGCTAAAGCTGCTGCGGAAGGGACATCTTCAGGACCATTAAAAATAGATCTGAAAAAAAGTCCATATGGACTGTGGATACCTATCTAAAAGAAGAAACCTAATAGCTAAGTTTGCATGAAACTGCACTTTATTGCAAGATTGTGTTTCTAGCATTATTCTATCCCCTTGAATCATTTAGCTATTGATTGTTGCATTTTTAAGCCAGCACAAAAATATGTAGATACTTACTATTCAGATATTAACATTTTAGGTTTCTTTTGCAGATAATGAGGTAGCACAAAAGGACCAAAGGTTACATACAGGTGGGAGTCTTGTATATATACTTGTAAATATTGTATATCAGTTTAGACACAGTAATTGGACTGTGTGTTTTGTATATTTATTAATAAATTTCTTATTTTTATTAGTCTTCATTGTGTGCCTATTACCTCAATGGATATTTATTTATTTATGGGTATTTATTATAGAAACATAGTAGGCATTTCCTGTTTTTTGCTAATCTCAACTTTAAGTTCATGGATCTACAACATAGGGCTCACTGGGAATTTGAGAAATGCTAAGTCTCAGGTCACCATCTTAGACCCTACTGGATTGGAAACAGAATCTTAACAATATTACCAGTTAATGTGGACAACTTATTAAAACTTGAGAAGTTAGCCTTAAAAATTTATGAAATATTGGACTTTAGGGCAGGAAACTCAGCCAGAAAGTGGTGCTACATTAAGCTGTAAAATCTGAGCTGTAGTTTGTCTTTATTGTGCTTTAAGAAATACTCTAAATCTTAAATATTGTTAATGCTATTATAGCTGTGAAGGACCTTTACTAAGCACATAATTCTTGAAGTGAATATTCCACTCTACGATGAACTGGAAGATCTCGACAGCTTGTCTAAATACAGACCACAGATCATTTATTTTTTAGATTTGGTTCTTGCTCTTTCATCCAGGTTGTAGTGCATTAGTACGATCATAGCTGACTGCAGCCTCAAACTCCTGGACTCAGGCAGTGCTGTCTCAACCTACTGAGTAGATGGGACTATAGGCACATGCCACCATGCCCAGCTGATTTTTTTAAAAAAATTGGAGATAGCATTTCCCTATGTTGTCCAGGCATGTCTTGGAACACCTGGCTTCCAGCAATCGTCCTGCCTTAGCCTCCTAGGTAGTTGGGATTACAGATGTGAGCCATGGCATTGGTTCCCCCATGTTTTAAAAACAAAAAGTTACTTTTGAAAATCACTATAGGAAACAATATAAAAAGAAAGCAAAGTCACTGATAACTCTTCCCCAGATACAACTATTCATACATTTGCGGCCAGCAGATTCTTCACTTTTCTAATACTGAGAGCAAGTGAAAATAAAAATCTGAAGCTGATTGCTGCAAATTTCTGTCATTAAGCACAAGTGAAATGGTCTTTTCTAAATTGTCACCATTTTCACAATATAGCTGAAAATTGTAGACATATCCAGTATTTGCCTCAGAGACAACTCTGACTAGCATTCTATACTTTGTATTTATATTTGGATTATAATCCCCAAAAGACAGTCTTCCATAATGAGTTAAATTCACATTAGCGGCAACCAGGAACAGAATTTGGAATGATAAATTCATGTCAGTGGTCTCGAATGAGTTAATACATATCCTAGATGTATGGAGGTTTCATTTTAGTGATTTCCTAAGTATGGGTTTTTCTTTCCCATTCACTTTCTCCTTTGCCATCATAAAAGAAAGTGAATGGGAAAGAAAAACCCATACTTAGGAAATCACTAAATTTTGGAAAATAATGCAGTAGCTGAGCATGGTGGCTCACGCCTGTAATCCCAGCACTTTGGGAGGGGAGAGAATTGCCTGAGCCCATGGGTTAAAGACCAGTTTGGGCAACTTGGTGAGACCTCATCTCTACAATAAATCAAATTAGCCAGGTATGGTGGCACGTCCCTGTGATTCCAGCTACTTGGAAGGCTGAGGCGGAAGGATTGCCTGAGCTGAGCAGGTGGAGGCTGCCACTGCACTCCAGCCTGGGTGACAGACTCTGACTCATAAAAAAGATTTCCAATAGGTAGGGGATAGTAAGAGAGTATGATGGGCAGAATAGTAAAGGCTAAACAAATCACTCAGGAACAAACACCAGATGTTATGAGGAATAAAAAATATACAGAGGATGCCACAAAAATACACCTTTTAAGAAAAAAAACTATGGTAAGATGAATACAAGTCACGTTTTGACTTATGCAATTACATGAGGTGCTCAGTGATTACCATCAGCATCTAGACACTTACGAAAAGTACTTTGGAAAGTAATACATAGATAAATAACATTGTTTAAAATGTGTATGCATGGGCCAGTTGCAGTGGCTCAAGCCTGTAATCCCAGCACTTTGGGAAACCGAGGCAAGAAGATTGAGCTCAGGGGTTTGAGACTGGCCTGGGCAACTTGGCGAGACTTCATGTCTGCAATAAATCAAAAAATTAGCTGGGTGTGGTAGCACACGCCTGTAGCTCCAGCTACGTGGAAGGTTGAGGCAGAAGGATCACCTGAGCCTAGCAGGTCGAGGCTGTGGTGGCCATGTGTGTGCCACTGCACTCCAACCTGGGTTATAGTGAGACTCCAACTCAAAAGACAAAGTGCATTTTTTTTGCATCCCTGGTGTTTATAACATAATGAATAAATAGTATTAAGCAGGCTGTGCACATAAGTCTTAAGCAGTTGATTTTCTCCTTAAATATTATTGGTAAAGGTCCTAAGAGGAAAACTTTCTCTTTATACACAAAACTCAAGACACCAAATGTGTGAGTTTTTACACCAAGCAGTTCTCCCTGTTCTCTGCTTTTTACACTGGAGAGGCCTACGATTTAATTCTGAAGTTAGCATGTACTCTATAAGCTAAGTGTTCAGTCCCACAAGACTGTCTATTCCCTTAAGATGCTAATTGCAAGTCGCAGGTCCTGATGTTACCCACACTTAAGTCTGACATGACTCCCCTTCAGTAACTATGAAGACGCACAGAACTGGGGGCAACACTTGACTATTGATTTGACAGCTGGATAAAGAGGTACTGGGGTGAAGTCCAGAAGGGAGCTTCTGTTCCCGTGGAGTTTGTGGTGTGCCACCCTCTGTCATGGGGGTGTGTTCACCAGCCTCAGCCCAGAAGCTGTGAACCCTAGAGATTTAGAGGTTTTATGGAGGTCCCATTATGTAGGCATGATTGATTTAAATCACTGACCACTGGTGATTAACTCAATCCCCAGCTTCTCTACCCTCCCTGGAGATGGGGAGAGATTGGGCTGAAAGTCTCAACCCTCTAATTTTGTTCTTGTGGCAACCAGCCCCCATCCTCCAAGTCACTGTATAAGCATAAGCTCAGTTATCATTGGAAGGGGATTGGGAATAATAAGTTCCTCACTTATCCTGAAGGATAAGGGTTTTTAGGAGTTTGTGTTAGGAACTGGGGGCGAAGAAAAAAAAAACATCACAATAGCATAGTTCTCAAGTGGGACTTGAGTAAACTACTGCCAACTAAAGCTGTGCTCTTCAGTATTCTATTATCTTCACTTTGCATTAGTAGCCAGCCAGTAGCTTACGTTGAAAAATTCCTTGGTCATACTGTCCAGTTCTCAAGAGTTCAAAAGCCACATGTGGCTAGTGGCTGTCTTACTGGAAAGTGCATGTACTTCCTTCAGAACATCTATTATACTGCGCAGTTCTAGACAGAAATTTGACCCTATGAAAAATGTGGACATGACTTGCATATGTCCATCCTAGGTATATAGTTCCTGTTCTTTTCACTTGTATAGGCTTTGGTTCATATTCCCTCCCCACAGGCTAGCTGTGCATGGTTGAACAAAGGGAACTGGAACAAAGGGCTAGCCACTCTTGGTAAATGTGTCTATTTCACATCTAGACTAAGAATGAGTTATTGGGAGGGAATAGGTGCTTCTAAAGGATTAAAAAAACTTGGTAGGTTCGCTTTTATTGTATGGAGACCTGAGGATATTGGTGGACCAGCTTAGTTATAGCAAAATCCAAGAAAACAGGATTGGGCTTAAAATTTGTAACTGAGAATGTCAGCAGTTTCATAACTCAAGGATTTCCTTTTAAGGGAGACTCTTGAAATAAAGGTGACAGTACTAGAATCTTTTTCTTCTTCATGCAGCTGGTAATGGAATGAGCACCTGCTCTGATTCTGATGTGTTTTCAAACACTAGCTCTTAATATCTAAGTGACTGGGCAAATCATGTACCTCTTGAGTAGGAAAAAATGCTGGCACAGTGACTCACTACACCCAGAGTCCCAGTTACTTAGGATGCTGAGGTGGGAGGATCACTGAGGGCAGGAATTAAGGTTGTAGTGAGCTGTGATCGACCTGCTGCACTCCATCCTGGGCAGCAGAGTGAGACCTTTTCTTTAAAAAAAAAAAAAAAAGGCTAGGCACAGTGGCTCACACTTATAATCCCAGTACTTTGGGAGGCCTACGTGGGAGAATGACTTAAGAGCAGGAGTTCCACACTAACCTGGGCAACATAGTAAGACCCACCCACCCCCTAATCTCTACCAAAAAGATAAAACAAAAAACCCACGAACTTTTCCCTCTGCTCTCACATCAGAACGGCAAGCACAGAAGACTTAGAGTTGGAGGACACTGTGTTCCAATTCAATTCTGACCCTACTGGAGACAGCATATCCCACAGGTTAAGGGCTCAGTCTCCAAGACTGTCCTCTGTGCTTCAGATGCCAGTCATGGCTGGGCTTGGTGGCTCAGTCTGTAATCCCAGCGCTTTGGGAGGCCGAGGTGAGTGGATTGTCTGAGCCCACGGGTTCAAGACCTGCCTGGGCAACTTGGTGAGACCTCATCTCTACAATAAATCAAAAATTAGCCGGGCATGGTAACGCATGCCTGTAGTTCCAGCTACTTGGAAGGCTGAGGCGGAAGGATCGCCGGAGCCCAGCGGGTTGAGGTTGCAGTGACCAGGAGTGGCTACTGCACTCCAGTCTGGGTGACAGAGTGAGACTCTAACTCAAAAAAAAAAAAAAAAAAAGATGCCAGTCACAAGCCCCAGGTGGTTTTACGTGTGCTGCTCACCAACCAGCTATAAATCAGGATTCCCACAGCCCTGTCCTTGGGTTCAATTTGCTAA